TTAATCACCTGCTAAGGTAAACCATCATTAAACAACCCACAAGAGTTACTAAACAGGTAGTCGTAAGTTCGCTGGCTGCAAGTGAGCGCTGGCCTCAAATACTAACGATCTGGCCCTTTGTTTTTCTCTGAAACAGCTTTTATACCTATGTTTCAATCGGTGCGGCAGCTGCTGGTGGATGGCTGCTAGCAAGCTACTACAGATAATCTTGGTTAAAATCGTGTTTATCGAAGGTGGTCGCATCCGTACCCGGCTTATTTGGCAACCCTTCCGGCGCAAAAGTTCCTGGATCTTCCGTTTCTGAACGAAGTCTGGCACGAAACGTTGGCCCGGAGACCGCTCTTGCAGAGTTGCGTTCTCGCGTGCGTGCCGTGCCCATTTCTGAGGCTATGATACGTTTTCCGTGGCAAGCGCAAGAGAGTCGTCACTTTCGGAGGGTCAGCACCACCAGCATGCGCAGGACATCGGACATCCGAGTGGCAGGCGCAGTACGGCGTGCGCGTTGCTAAAACGTTGGTAGGCGTGGGCCGAACTAAGACGTGCTTCGGGTGTCATTGCCATTTCCTTGGTGGACGCAATATTTGGTGAATTTGGACGATGCTTTTGGTTATGTGAGATTGTCGCCATTTCTGGATTTGGCGCTTGGTGATCATGTTCGTGGCAGGTGCAGAACCCTAGAGACCTCGACAGCAAAGCGATTGAAACCTATATCAATATAGGTAAAACGCTTTTCCGATATTTCGCCTGTACTTTAGTGGTGCGCGCAGTACTTGGTGAAATTCCACCTTGTGCTCGCCCAACTCTCTCGTCACCTTGTGTGTGTTGGATCGCTCTTGATATGGCGCTGTGCTCGTTGTGAAATTGCTCGCGGAACCATTTCGTTACTTTGTGGGTGTCAGATCGCTCTCGTTGTGGCGCGGTGCTCCTTTTGATATCGCTCGTGCAACCCTCTGGGCCCCTCGGATTCTAGAGATCCTGGCATAGATGACAAAGAGATCGTGTGAGTTCTTTGGAAGTCCTTCTATGACGATCTTGCGTTCCTTGTGGGAAGGTCTTGTGACGTGGGGCCCGTGGTGAAATCCCCCAGAAGTCCTTTGCATGAAGATCTTGAAGATATCCCGTGCTAGAGGTGCTTATCTGAAAGCTCCTCTCGGATTCTTCAGGAGGTTCTTGTCAAATATCTTGTAAGATCGATCTTAGGATGCTCCTAGGAGGCTCTTGTATGAAGACGTTGTAAGAAATTCTAAAAGGCCCTTTTGGGACGACTTCGTGACATTCTTTGAGGGGTCCTGGTTTGAGGTCCCGGTCAGGAGCTTTTGTTCGTATATGTTCTCCTCAACACTGTTTTGGGTTTCTGCCCACGGTAATTTCCTGCTTTCTTTCCGTTTGAAGGTGAAACTATGGAAGTTGCGCGGGGTTTATTTGTTTTCATGTCGGACGGATGCAGGTTATTGTGTTTGCTTTGATACGGGTCATCTCTGCGCTTTTTTTGAAAGACCCTTGGCCTGAAATTTGACACACCCGGTATGGGGACTTTGTTTGGCCTTGCTTGTTGGGATGTCATGGTTGTGTTGGCAGACAGTTTTCAGTTTGGCCTACCTGAGCGGTTGTAAGATGTTTTATTTGACATGCCCTGAAATTTGGCCGTGAGCCGTGTACATGCGACGTGTGCAGAGAGAGCATGTGCACATACGAATGCGGCCGCAGCTGCCCCAAGGACACATTAGATGCCGCGCAGAGCGATGCAGATTTGGCAGTGGTGGACAAGAAAGAGCGCCGCAGAGTGCATCTTGCCTCCGGGGCGATGAACTTGTTTGATTTGTTGGTTTCTTTGAATAGCAAGAAGGGTTGTTGTCATGCTTGCACTTGTTTCGTTCTTGCTGTCGTGAAAAATCATTTTTGCAAATTATATTTGATTAGGCCGTGCGGTCGCACAGTTCGAGGGTTTCTGGCCAGGTATGTGACAAAGCTAGAGGCCCTCTTTGAAGCCATTGATACCAAGAAGAGTGGCATGATCAATGAGAAACAATTATCGCAAATCACTCGATGCCGAATGTCCACGCTTACCTTGAGACTTTGGGCTTGGATGTGAAGGACTGCGGTGCTTGGGGAGTTGGTCAGTGTGACAAATTCATGTCCACAGATGGCCCTATATAGGCCCTATAGCCTACAGTGAAATCCACCTTGCGCTTCAGGAGAGTGCCGCGTTGTTCCACTTGTTAGATGATGGCGATGGAGAAGTAACAAGAGAAGAATTTATCAATGGCATCATGCATTGCAAAGGCGAAGCACGCGCGATTGACCAAGTCATCATGCATGCAGAGCTGAAGCTTGTGACCAAGAGGTTGGAAGGTTTGTGTAAACACATGGGCTGCAAAAAGAAATCTTCTTTATTATCTCCCATGCAACGGAGACAAAAAGCCTTCAAAGAAAAGGCAGAACATTTGAAGACTTTCAGACAGTCTCAAAGTGACATGAGGTTACGTTGATTCAGATGCAACCTGAAGGGTTCCAAATTTGAAAGTTGATTTCCACTTTCCCAGTTCCTCTGTTTGCCACTTTCCACGCAATTCTTTGCCCTACCACCCCGCGCTAGCGCCTGCAGCAGCCACAGAAGTTTCGCCTGGTAGCATATGGTCGCATATTGTGTGTCACTGCGGCGGCCACTCTTGCATGCCTGTGTTTCACACCGGACCGTATGCCCGAACATGTCCGTCTATATGTCAGAAGGCATGTGGCAGCCCATAGGTGCGAACACTTGTCACTGCGCAGGTCCAGAGTCGCTTCGTAGTATTTTTCTTTTCCGGGCCCAACACATGCCATGGAATCATATGTGGCAAGATGCGCCATTACAAGGGTCAGTCAATATGTTCATGGACATATCAGCACACCTGCGTCAATCTGGATGTCAAACTATATTATTTATCAGCCAAGCAATCAAGATGGGAGCTACTATCTCAGTAGCTTGGTCGGCGTTTACGTTACTAGAAAAAATCCGTGCTGTATGTCAGCCATTGATACCTATAGTTTGGCTTGATTCCGATATGAGTTCATGTGTGGTGCCTCACCGGCTGCGGGGTGCGCAGGGCGAGCGCGCGAGCATTTGACACGCGCGCGCGCGAGACGCACGAGTAAAGACATTCGCGCCCGCGATGTGGGCGAGCAAGGCGCGGGTCAACATGCATGCGCGCGCGTGCGCTCGCAAAAAAGCTCACATAAGTTTGCTGCACGGGCAAATAAAGTCAACAAATCCAATTTTGGAGAGCTTATTATTTGCGCGCGTGGTGAGCTTATGTGAGCTTCTTGCGCGTGCGCATGTGTCCGAAGTGCGCGCTTATTCGCGCGTTCTTTGTTCCCGCGCCTTGCTTGCGCGCCTTGCCCACGCACCTCGCGCGCCTGTTTTGCTTGCGTGTCTCGCGCCCGCCCGTGTTTAATGCTCGCGCGCATGCTCGCGCGTGATTTCAGCTGGAAATGTTTCATTTGTTTAAAACATGACAACGTATTTATTTTGTTGTTGCACATTTTTTTTCAATGGTGATCGATCCCAAATTCCTTGTAAAGAGTTTTAATTGCGAAGAGAAACTGAACTTTTTATTCGCGAAAGTTTCGCGGAAGTTGGATATTATGGATCATTCTTGTATATAATTTGTCACGGGCTACCTCCCTGCTGCCCAGGAGAAGGTGCTGGAGAATGTTTGGTTGTGGTTCAGTTCTCTGTTTGGTGTTATTTCCCTCAATAGGTAGCAGCCGAGCTTCCAGAGGTGAGGCTTTGCCAAAGCCAAATACCACGGTCCTGAAGCGCATCCTTGTACCTGCCACTGGTACTGCCATGTACTGTACTGCTCAATGTTACTTCTGAAGTCTCAAAGAAAAAACCCAAACGCAGCAGCCAAGCTTCCAAACGCCAAGCTCCAAGAAACTGCTGATGGCTGGGGTCTGCGGATAAGGATATTTTCGCGAAGGTTTTGCGAAAGTTCTGCAAACAAAGGAGCTAGCGAGAGTCAAAGTGCATGTTGGAGGGGGTGGCCCAGGAAACCTTGCAAAAAGTAACCTGGTCAGCAACAATCTGTCCTGAGAAGGCGTTCCGTGATGCTAGCTACATGTTTACAATGCTGTCAAGAAGTGATCTGTGATAAGCTGGCATAATTTGGCAGGTGATGAATGAAGCTTCATAAAAGGCATTGTTGCCCAACATGGGCCCCGTGAAAGATAAACATGGAGCACGCGAAAGTTTCGTACGCACGCGATGTGTACTGGCGCTTCCTTGTAGAAATTTCAATGGTTTTCTGAGTATGTGGCCCCCGCTCGAAGTGGAGCAACTTGTTTGACCCAAACTTGAAGGATCATGGGGGAAAAAGACAAGCGAGTAGTCCCCAGGGATGCTAAGAACATGCTTCGAAATCCTCAACGTCTTTTTGAGGCTGGCATCACATCTCACGTGGTATCTGTGCAAGTATGCCCGAGAATTCCCAAAGGGAAACCAGGCATGGGCCAGCTTCCAGAGTTGCCGTGCGAGAAAGAAGCTAACTGCCTGAAGCGGGGCGGGGTGGAAATGGCAATTAGTTTGACCTTGGCTGTTTTCAGTTTGGAGTTTTAAAGCAACATAAACCAGAAAATTGGCAGTCTGCAGTCGCGGCCCACAATTTTCAATGTGCCTGGAGGATCCTGGAGGGTGCTTGACTGAACAGATGGCATTGAGTTGGTGCATAGTGAAGGCGTTGCGGCTCTGAAAAGTCACGGGGCCACGTTGGAAACATATTAGCAACACCGCGGGGTGTTTTGCATGCACAAGGATTTTCAAATTAGATCCGAACATGGTAGATTTTGATCAATCACAGGTGATTAGTCAAAGCGATGAGGGCCTTTTGCGCTGCATGCTTGTTCCTGCTCAGGGCAGCTTCCCAGGACGGTGTTGGAACGAAAGAGTTGGGCCGTTTACGAGCGATTTTTTAAACTGATTGCTGGAGCGGCTGGAGGACTGCGATGATGATGTGCCCAACATGATGCTACTGCAGACTCACCAGGTGGAACCAGAGCGGGGTTCCATCCTTCTGGACAAGAAGGACGACACGGCCAAAAGTATCTTCAAACAGGAAGACCTGGTGATGGCTTATGCAGCTTGGCTCAGACTGGGAGCGGTGATCCTTCACCATCCTGCCTTGACCGTGCCGTATGTTTTTTTGCTTTGACGCATCGCGCTGACCTGATCTGATTTGGGCTTTGTTGAAGCAGATGCGTTGCTCCCTGCTACCAAGTACCACGACAAGCGATAGGAAGTGTTGCGCCATCTATTGACGGCGTGAAGGCACCAAAGCTGAAAGCCGAGCCCTTCTGTGAGGATTCGCAAATGGACTTGTAAGATTTTTCGCAAAGCTGGGGTGTGCAGGGAGGCGCGACGCAGTTGAGAGAGCCATTCATGAGGCGCAGTGCTTCGTGAGAGCAAAGTTATCGGTGGCAAGCGTAGCATTCGGTTTTGGAACAGTGGTGAAAGTCAGTGCAGGCCCCGCCCCCGGCCAATTCCGACAACAACACTTTGCATATTTTCGCTTTCGTTTTTACAACAGCACGTTGGCTGAAAGGAAGGAAAGAGGAGGCGTTTTTTTTTATTTATTGTTTTCATGTTTCTATTTGAGCTAACTGGTCAATTAATCTAACGCATCTGTCATATCTAGCTTGTTTGTGTTTTCAGTCTTGTTCATTTTGAATATACTCGCTTACCTTATTTCTATTATGTTGCTTTCTGTGTTGTTTTTGTCTTGTCTCTCTTGTCTATCTGGGCTATCTTGCCTATCTGGCTTATTTTGTCTTTCCAGTTTGCCTTTCTATCATAATATGCATGTCTTGTCTTCCGGCAACCGGCAACCGGCAACCGGCGCCAGCGCCGACAGAAAAAGTACCCCTTTCCATCTGCCCTGATCTGATCTTATGCCGGTCTTTTATCCAATCTTTATCTTGTGCTTCTCCAATCTATTTTCTTACCCATACCCCGATCTCTTGGTTTCTTTCCTACAACCACGGCAAAGATGAACGAAAGTATCTGGTCTTGTCTTGCCTTATCTTACCTGATTGAGCCAGATCTTTAGATTCTATCTACCAATGGTTCTTCATTCTTTCTTGGCTATTTATTGTTCTTAGCTCTCTTCGATCTATCTATGAAGTTTTCGGCATCTTGCCTTGTCCATTTTTTTAAGTCTCCTGTCTAATCTGCCGTTTCTGGTTTGTTTTTTGATGATATCTACCTTGTCCATCCTTATGCATCGTGTCTTCCTTATCCATCCAATTTACTTCATGCATTGTTTCTGTCTTGTCAATCTGGTCTCTTGTGCCTATGTTGTTTTTCCTGTCTATCCCGTCTATCGCTCTGATCTGATTCTGCCTGTCTTTCATCCGGTCTTTGTCTTATGTTTCTCCTATCTATATTTTCCTACCTATCTCCCGATCTCTTTGATTTGCCGGCAATCATTATGCGCCCGCCAGCAATGCTGCAAAGAATCGGGGCATACGAACTTATAGCTCCAAATGTTTGGCTGCCCCGACCAAGCTAATTCCAAAAAGTGAACGTTATTTTCCAAATGCAAGAAAAACATTTAGCCAGTTTGAGAACCGTGAAAAAACAAACGCACTTGGAAAACATGGCAGAAAACAAAAGGCAAACAGCAAACCAGACTCGGCAATTCTACATAATGTTTTGCATGCTTTGCAGTTATTTTATATTTTTTTCGCGTTTACCTGGTATTTTCTGTATTTCTTTGGTTTTTCTGCATCTTTTGGTCATTTTTTTGCATTTATTCCCCACCTGCCAGGTGAGGGTTGTTAGATTTTATCAGAGCTGTTCTCCTCCTCCTCCGCCTCCTCACCCGCCGCCTCCTCCTCGCAGTCCAGATCCCAGTGGGCACAGCCGGACCTCCACCGCGAGCTCCAGATCCCAGTGGGCACTGCCGGACCTCAACCGCGAGTTGCAGATCGCAGTGGGCACTGCCGGACCTCAACCGCGAGTTGCAGATCGCAGTGGGCACTGCCGGACCTCAACCGCGACTTCCAGGTCGCAGTGGGCACTGCCGGACCTCAACCCGACTTCCAGATTGCAGGGGGCACTGCCGGACCTCAACCGCAGTGGGCACTGCCGGACCTCAACGGGAAGAATATCAGAAAAGATTTCAGATAGAATGTCAGAAGATATGCCAGATAGAATGCCAGAAAGAATGTCAGAAAGAATGTCAGAAGATATGCCAGACAGAATGTCAGAAGATATGCCAGAAAGAATGTCAGAAGATATATCAGATAGAATGTCAGAAGATATGCCAGATAGAATGCCAGAAGAAATGTCAGAAGATATGCCAGATAGAATGTCAGATGGAATGCCAGAAGATATGCCAGATAAAATGCCATGAGATATGCCAGATAGAATGCCAGAAGATATGCCAGATAGAATGTCAGAAGATATGCCAGATAGAGTGCCAGAAGATATGCCAGAACATATTGCAGAAGATATGCCAGGTAGAATGCCAGAAGATATGCCAGAAGATATGCCAGATAGAGTGCCAGAAGATATGCCAGAACATATGCCAGAAGATATGCCAGATAGAATGCCAGAAGATATGCCAGAACTTATGCCAGAAGGTATGCCAGATAGAATGCCAGATAGACTGCCAGAAGATATGTCAGAATATATGCCAGAAGATATGCCAGATAGAATGCCAGATAGAATGCCAGAAGATATGTCAGATAGAATGCCAGAAGATATGCCAGATAGTATGCCAGAAGATATGCCAGAAGGTATGCCAGATAGATTGCCAGCCAGAACATATGCCAGAAATTATGCCAGATAGAATGCCAGATAGCATGCCAGAAAATATGCCAGATAGAATGCCAGAAGATTTGCCAGTAAGAAAATGTATAAATGTCATGGTGGGGATCACACGAAGTAAAGTAATTTGTTTTTTCGCATTGATCTAGCATTTTTTGTCGCATTTATTTTGCATTTGTTCTCGAATTTACCTTGGATTTTCCTCAGTCTTTACGGATTTCCATATTTCCTCCATTGCCAATCGCATCTTTTTGCATTTTCTCAATTGTTTTCTTTGTGGTTTTGTGTATTTTTTGTTTTGGGCATTCTTGTTTCAATCGTGTTTTTTTTGGTGCAATTTTGAAAACACAGGTTTGCAAGAATTTGCCGGCCATAATCCGAAATGTTGCCAGTTCCATGCGGGTGAAACATCTAAACGCCAAACATGGTGTAGATACTATGCAGGCGCAAAATCCAGATTCCATCATGATGCAATTTCCATTCCCATTAGAGGTCCGAACTGCAAAATGCTGCAAATACCGCGCAAATGAGAGATCCAAATTCCAAGATGTCGCACACAGCCCAACCCCAAAAACGGTCGAAAAACGCAATCCATTCTGAACAAAACAGTGCAAAAGCAAAACGGGCAAACCATTGCACAGGATTGAGACGGGCCAACCGCATTTTGAAACACTTCCTCAAAACTACACCTTAAGGAACAGAAAACACACATTTCAGGATCGAATTCCGCGCAGCATATGCATTTGTGAAACGATCCTTCCGGAAAAAAAACATGCACCCCAGTGTAGGCAAACATAGAAAAGAAAACGACTTTTGCAAGTGACAAAACATGCACAGTTCACAAGACACAATAGCACGGCCCTGCAAGAACACGTGCAGAACCCTTATGTAGCCATCGCAATCCGTTTGGCAGCCACGGCGGCAAAAACATGATCAGAACATTTCTGCGCATCCGTCAGGAGTCAGGACACCCATATTTTCAGATGCAAACAAGGGATAAGCATGTTTCTGCGCGGTGGTTGAACAATGGTGGCTGCGCATCATTTTTGATTTGATCCGATTTGCCTGAAAGCCGGACATTCCATTAATGTTCCGTCGCGACATGTTTCCACCCTCATGACTCAATTTTTCCAGGTACCTTTCAATTTCGGTCATACAGTGTCGGAGAAGGTTTTGCAGCACGGCATTCGGTGGGGAGATTGCGGTTCACGCGACCCTGAAGCAGAACCTTGTCGGAAAAAGAGGATGGGCCTACGGTGTTTACAAGGTAATTCCGGATTCGCATACTGCATTTTCCAGGTGGGTGCTTAGCACTATTTTCTCATTCCGCACAAATTGGCATGGTAGGGTGGGACTTGTCATCTTAACGGCTGCGGCTTCAAGCAAACCATGCATCTTCCCCATACTAGCATGGCGCATGCTTCTTTCGGGCCAGGATTGCTTGGGGTGGCAAATCTCCAATGCTACTGGGTGTAATCTGATGAGACTTGGCTTGACTTGGAATTTGCCTTCAGTAGTGCTCAAGTCAGACCTTCCCCAGCATTGGTCGGCTCTCAAGGTACGTGCCTGGAAAGCTTTGGCCGCTGAAATCAGCAGAGAGTCACTTCGGAAGTCGTATCTCGCTATTTTGTTGTCATGTTTGGTGTTTTTATCATTGACATGTGATAAAGAAACGGGACTAACAGACTTCCAATTCAAACCTGCAAGCGTTATTTTCTCCATTTCCGCACTGCCCTGTGACTCTACAAGAACCAAACGGGTAGCCACAAGCCACGAGTGAAAACGAAAGCCACTAAACCCAGCTTGAACTCTCCTCGAACTCTGTTTGAACTCTGCTTGACTCCACGATTTCGCTTCCAGGCACCATTTTCGGAATCCTGCGTGATCCCTATGAGAGGATGGTTGCACAGTTCCGTGGCACCTACCGACTCGAGCACCCTGAGTTGGGCTGTGACGTGGACGCAGGGGTCAAGATCCTGAGCTGAAGAGCGAAGAGGTGCGAAGAGCAAATTGCTAATTTCAGTCATTCTTCACTTATGTAACTCCCTTACCAGATCCTATTAGCTGAAAACATTACCGAAGGAAGTTTAGAAGTCAAACTTCCCCACAATATGGACAGATGAAAAAGCAGAGGTGGGAAGAGTCAGAGAAGAGAAGAGAAGAAAGAAGATCAGAGAAGAGAAAGGGTCAGAAGAAAGAAGATGCAGGTGCGCGAAAGGGTAGAAAAAGTGGCGAAACACCGTGTTTTCCAATGTTTTGTGGCTCTGGAGGGTCGAAAAGTAGGCTAAAGCGGCGGGTGCGGAGCCATCTGGCCAGATGAGAGATGAAAGATTGCACGCCGTTGTGGCGCGAAGCACATTTCGAAGTCAAAAGTGTTAAAAAACTGGCGGTCTCGGCGCACTTCTTGAAGTTCAGATGTCGAAAGCGCACGCCGTTGTAGCGCGAAACACATGTACAATTACATTACATTACCCTACATTACACCACACCACGCAACACCACACCAGACCATACCACACCATACCACACTACTACGACAATTGCAGCTACAACTGCAACTACCATTGCAAAATACAAATATACTACGCTACATTACGTTACACTACTTACGCTACAGTACAGTACAACTACAGCTACAGCTGCGCTACACCACACTACATCCAGCAGTTGTGGGTGAGGTGACCGCTGCAACCACTGCAGCCATTCCAAAAAATACAGCTCCAACCTCAACCACGTGGATTCGCTCTGCCATCCATGCGTGTCGCAACAATTCACCTCTCGTATAGTGTCCTATATAATGAAACTTTCGCCACCGCCTTGTGCGGCACTACTGGCAAAACATGTTTCCAGTTGTCATGTCATGCTTTACCAGCCTTTAGATGATGTTTTTGCAATGTTACAGCTTTCAACATGTCTGACTTGCAACATCCATGTCAGTATCATACCCATGGATTGCATGAAAGTCGGCTACGATTGTGAGAATGAAAGGCCCTCCCATCGGAACGATGAAATTTGAGGAAAATGATGGAAGAGTACCTAGCAGCCGTCGAAGCTGGCAATCCTTGGGCCAACAATTGCAACTATTTGCCGCAGGCATGGCATGAAAATGCATGAAAGGAGTGCTGCAGAAACGTGCGTAACATGTGCGTGGAAAGCCGGAAAGCAAGCCTTCGGTTGCCAAGGCCGAATTCTTCGACCAACCCTTTGGTGCAACTTTGGCCGTGGACAACCGACGTTTTCCTGATTCAATGAACGAGATCCTTGGCGATGCAAGATGATGCAAGGCCAAGGGGGGGAAATCCCAAGGCTCAAAAGGCAAGGGGCTTTGCTCCAGTGACCAATTCAAATTTTGTGACATACAAATCATACAAAATATAGCATAGTATGGTATAGTATAGGACACTAAAGCATAGCATAGCATAGCATAGCACAATATAGTATAGTATATATTTTTTAAAACATATATTAGATAGATAGATAGATAGATAGATAGATAGATAGATAGATAGATAATTAGATAGATAGATAGATAGATGGATAGATGGATAGATGGATAGATGGATAGATGGATAGATGGATAGATGGATAGATGGATAGATGGATAGATGGATAGGTGGATAGATGGATAGATGGGTAGATGGATAGATGGGTAGATGGATAGATGGATAGATGGATAGATGGGTAGATGGATAGATGGATAGATGGATAGATGGATAGATGGGTAGATGGGTAGATGGATAGATGGATAGATGGATAGATGGATAGATGGGTAGATGGATAGATGGATAGATGGGTAGATGGATAGATGGATAGATGGATAGATGGATAGATGGATAGATGGATAGATGGATAGATGGATAGATAGATAGATGGATAGATGGATAGATGGATAGATGGATAGATGGATAGATAGATAGATGGATAGATGGATAGATGGAAAGATGGATAGATAGATAGATAGATGGATAGATGGATAGATGGATAGATGGATAGATGGATAGATGGATAGATGGATAGATGGATAGATGGATAGATGGATAAATGGATAGATGGATAGATGGATAGATGGATAGATGGATAGATGGATAGATGGATAGATGGATAGATGGATAGATGGATAGATAGATAGATAGATAGATGGGTAGATGGGTAGATGGGTAGATGGATAGATGGATAGATGGATAGATGGATAGATGGATAGATGGATAGATGGATAGATGGATAGATGGATAGATGGATAGATAGATAGATAGATCGATAGATCGATAGATAGATAGAGAGAGAGATAGATAGATAGATAGATAGATAGATAGATAGAGAGAGAGATAGATAGATAGATAGATAGAAAGATAGATAGATAGCTAGATAGCTAGATGGTTAGGGTAGGATAGGATAGGATAGGGTAGGATAGGATAGGATAGGTAGATAGATAGATAGATCGATATAAATATAGTATACCAATATCAATCTATGTATATATACATACATATATCATATATCTATCTAAGTCAAAGTTTTAAAAAGTATTATCAAGAGGCTCGGACATGATCCAAACATGGCCATGCCATGCCCAGGGTCTTTCAGAAACATGGCTACGACATCCAGATCCTCACGGAGGAGGCAAGCCAAAGAATACACGGGACGGTCACCAGATTTGTTCAGGTTCACATCGACGTGTCGACACTGGACAGAGCATGCCGATATCGCAGATTTATCGCAGATATCATAATCCCATCAAAATCTTGTCAGAACCTCATCATAATCCCATCATAACCCCTGTAACCAATTATGCCGATTCAACAACTTACAACCACGTGGACAACACAGTGATTGGTATGATTTAGTTGCTGCATGGCACTGCATGATGTGCAATGATGTTTGGTGGAGAGGGTACACGTTGGAGCTTGGAAAATTTCAGAACCCTTTGCTGATAGGAAAATTTACACGTTGGAACATGGAACTATTTGGCTGATAGGACTTGTTGCTCGTTGTAGCAACATTTTATAGGAACATTTCTGCCGCTTGCAAGGTCGGTCACGTTTCGGGCTGCGATTCGAAATGGGCAGCAGATCTCAGCCCTGAGACCAAAGCCTTGGTTCACAAGGCCCTCACGATGCCTGTGAGATGCCTGTGGGTACTTCACTATTGGTACACAATATTTCACAAATTTTCACAGTACTTCACAGTACTTCACAGTACTTCAGATCGTTTCAGTGAGGTCAACATGGCAGGCGTCTTGCAAATGGAGCAATACACAACTTGCACAACGATGAGTCCTGATGCAACACGACTCACAACATTAGACTCTTTGCCTTTCCCAATTCAAGACAGATACATGCATACTGTATGGCTACATGTTCTTCCACATTCTCCCCACATGATGTGCTGCAGGTCTACCACAGGGACTTTGATTTGATTTGCAAAGAGTTCGGCTACTGCGACCCCACAGAGAACGTTTGTTTGACACGGGTCCCAGGGATGTGCCCGCCGCAACTCTTTGAATGGAACGAGGACAAAAAAATCTACGAAACCAAAATCTAGAGTTGCGCAGCTGGAGCTTGCAGCCCTGAGAAAAAGGTCTGAAAAGAGGCAGATGTGTCCGACAAATTAAAGTGGAAAAGGCAGGAAAGCATTGAAATCAAGTCTCCGAACATATCCAAATATTAAAATATACATAAATCTACTATACTAGGGACCCAACACCATCCAACTTTCTCAAACTGGGGTTTGCAGACTCTGACAACAATTGCAATGAGCCTGTTACCAGTACCAGGCACTTCAAAAAAAGTGCCTCGACGCATCGCAAAGGCCGGGTTAAGATTTTGTTGCAGGGGGCACTGGGGACTTTGTTTTTTCCCATCCTTTTCAGCGGCATTCAGGAGCAATACTTGTTGCTTGCTTCCCGGTGAATATTCCGATTGAAGAATCAGGTTTCAGTGGGGTGGAACCAAAAAGGCCGCTGAGACCTGAAGTACTTGGAATCCCTTCTGTTGGATGGAAAGATAGGAACGCTCCAAATAGTTCATCCACTAATTTGTAAACATTTCTGAATATTTGCAGCACATGCAGTGGCCATGCGGATATCAGGGAAGCGTGGGAATTTTGTGAACGTGGACTTGGCTCAAGTCCGATCCCGCCTGCACGTGGCGGGAGCAATGAAGCTGGTCTGCAGCTTGGGATGACGTTGGAAATTCCCACTAGGGTTGCAGCATCAACTTGCATAATCTCGCAATCGTGTGCCAGCAAGCCTCAGCAGAGGCCAGCCGAGCGGAAATAGTCTGAAATATGTTCATTGTATTGAATGCATTCTGAATGCCATAGGTCCATAGGTAAAAGATGGTAACGATAAATTGTCAAAACCCATGCGGCTGTGGACTGAGGTTGTTGCCGCAACGCTTGGCCTGGGGGCCACATTCAAGTTCGGATTGGAAGGACTTTGGACGCGTTCGGAGAGCCTGGAAGAGAGACCAAGATGCCTGTGCCAGACCATTGGTGATTATGAAACTATTAATGTCATATAATATCGTTACATCACCAAACCGTGAAATTTACACAAGAAGATCACACATGGTCAAAACGAATCATACAGATACATGTAAACGGCTGTAGAGTCGTCAGAGAATCGAACTGCACATGATGAATTGGCCATTTGTTGCGTTTGTTGTTGAACATTGAGTCCAAATGACTTTTGACGCGGTTGATTGGAAAGTGAGCAGGAATTCCGCCGGCGCAAAACGTCACCATTGGAGCAAAGGCGACCCATTCGGTAGTTAGGCGGTGCTTCAGGAAATTGCAATTTCACATGGTCTCACGATGTTTTGTTTGCCGCTTTGCCTTTGGTGCTTGGGTGACAGGCTGCCAAGCATCAAAGATCAGCGCTAAACTGTCAAGTAGCACAGTATATAAAACAGATGCTACTTAGCGCCTGCAAAACAAAAAAATATACCAGAATATGTTGTTGCCATGTGGGGTTGTGCGGTTGTACTTTCAAATCTGCCTTTCAAAATGCCCCAGCTGACAGGCTTTCGGTTCGCAAAATTGTCCATGCATCGGCTTTGCCGGCGTGGATGGCACTGCGATGGTTCGTGTGGGGGAACATTATGTGGCCTACCCAGGCCCGTGCAGTGGCATTGTTTTTCCTGTTTCGACTCCAGGCTTTGAACGGATTCATAGTCATGATTCAAGCATACACACACACACACACGCACACACACACACACGCATATGTATATATATATATATATATTATATATATACACATATTGATGCATATTCGATTGAATTCAGCCTTTTTCGACTTCCAAGTTGTGAGATCCTGCAACTGCTCAGCTGGCACAAGATGAAGGATTTCGCCAATCTCCGATAGCTAAGAACATCAACGACATCTTATAAAATTGTGAGGACAGTCGAAGACCATTTCATGATACTTATATCACCCTATATTTATGTATTTTGTAAAAAGGTGATATTTAATTTTGAAGTTTAAAGTATCTTCAAGTGCACCGCGGAAGTTCGAGGTGAGCTGGGCAGCCGCTGCGCAGCCTGGGATGATGATCAGCATCCTGAAAGCTGTCGCGAGGCGGGGCGATGCTGGGAATGCAAAATGCATTTGAAACAAAATGCAAAATGCGAAATGCGGATGGCACTATATCGCACTTGTTTCATGACATCATGATGGCATTTGTTTCCACCATTTTCTGACAGAATGGTATCTTGATTCATCTTGATGCATCTTGATGGCAGAGTTTTTGTCGCAGGGTCAGATGCCTGGAAAGGGCAAAGGATGGTGCAAACAGCCTTGGCTTTTTGTCAGCACTGGATTTGTGCAGTTTCGCTCTGTTTTGCTGATTTCCCTCCCTTTCTCCAACATATAATAGGTATGTATTTGTGGAATCGGAAGCGTGTTGATGCATTAGTATTTTCACGATCATGAATGTATCAATATAGTATATTATAGTATCAGACATAATGTTTTGATAGGCTTCACAGGTTGGTTGTAGGGCCATAGGTGCGAGCTGTACCATGCTGTACCATGCTGTACCATGCTGTACCATGCTGTACCATGCTGTACCATGCTGGCCGAGGTGCTATGTCGATCCCAGGAACTGTGATTTGAAGGCCAGCGGCTAGCGATGATCGGATTCGGATTTCGTGCAGCCGGATGCAACCGGATGCAACCGGCCTCGCTCAGGTTGCGCCAAGATTGTCTGAGTACGTACCTACGGCAAGATACCAGAGCCTTGGCTGCCTGCCCATAGAGGTTTAATTTTGCTTTCAATTCTCCGTCCTGTAAACCAAGATTGACCAACGCCCAGGAACATGCCTCTCTTCTATTCCTATGCTACTTGTGGCGGCGAGGCCGTGCATTCCCTGACCCCTTCCAATTGCCACACTTGTGCTGCACAAAGGGAGATGGAGGCCCAGATTGGCAAAGACAAGACGCAAGAGTAGCTGTATGAAGTCTTGGGATTCTTAGGAGGGGAGTTGTGACAACTTTGTCATCTCCGGGTTTCACAGGAGCTTCAAGCAAAGGATGCCATGCAGCCTGGCTGCGAGTGCATTGGAATTGAGAACAAGGCCTAGCTCAGCTATGCCGCATCATGCCTTGTGGATGCCTTGTTCTCAATGGATTGGTTCCTGTTTGAGAAGAATACATCAGCCCCCGCAGAGGAGATCAGAGGAGGGTTTGCCATACCCACCTGCAGTTTGGCTCCCTTTGGGTTCCGGTTCAAGTCCAATTGTACGTTTTGATTCGTTGTACTTTCACGCTTCGAGCATGTTGATTGATGTTGAGTGATGTTGATCGATATCAATTGGTTTCCACGATTTTCCACGTTAGGCTGGCAGCATCAAAGCCAACTTGGAGGGTGTCCCAATCCGCTATCCTGGGGAGGCGGGTGGAAGCTGCAAGGCCGGGACCATGTGACGCAGTGGCGTAATGTGGCGCAGTGTCATGACACAATTCATGACACAATCTCCCAGTGCCATGCTTTCATCATTTTTCATCCCTGTGCCAAAGGCTTGGGATTTGGAGCAAAATCCGCTGTGTGCGGTGAAAGGCAGAGCAAAATTGAAGTCACCATTGTCACTTCCAGTGTATGACGTAGAGACTACGTAGAGACTACGTGGAGTGTATAGTGATGTATAATGATGTATATATATATATATAGATATGATACTGTATATGTAGCTTGATGATGCTTGATGTGGATATGTGTTATTTTAATGCATTTTGGTGCATTTTGCGGCAGAACACCTGGCATTAGGTCGGACTGGGGGGATGTTGCGGTGCCAGGTGCCAAGCCCAGCTTTTGCACACAGAAGTGGTGCTACGTTGATCCTTGCCACTTGGACGGATGTTCTCACAGATTTCCCACATATTCCAACGTGTGGCAATGCCACAGCCACAGGTTGCAATCGGTCGCAATTTGTCGCCAGATGTTGCAATCTGTTGCAATTCTTGTGGTAGAAAGATGTCTCAAATTCATGCAGAGTAAGGCAAGTGCGGCGTTAAAGCACCGCCGAAAGAGGCTGCTGGTTGTTGGAACTTGCCAGCAGCTTGCAATTACCTGACTCCAACAAATGATACATTCCTTTTTGACGAGGCTGTTTACTTCAATGCCACCATGCCGCTTGACCTGCACAGCGAGTCTAGAGAATCTAACAGATTTCAACAGCATGGTGAGCATCATTGAGCATCCTGATATGTCCTGATGGGCTAAGCTGAGGAGGGGCAAGACCGTCTACTATTCCTATGAAGCCTGCGGCTCCAACGACACCTTCACCCTGGGCTATAACAAGATTCTGGGTCGCAGCCGGCGGCCTGTGGACGCATTGGGAGTTCGACATCGGCACATATATATATATATATATGGTGTCCTTCTTAGGGTGTAGATACTGGACAACTTTTCGTCCAGAATTCTAGGGGATCGAAGGTTAGTCTGCACATCATCACACACACACACATTGTATTGAAATAAATAGATAAGTAAGTCTCCACACGCACACACACACACACGCATATATATATACACACATGCATACATTAAAATGAAATAAAGACGTTTGACACGACCAAAGTTCTTACAGCATTTGCTCAGAACCTGACTAAGGAATGCTTGCCATTGCCTCAGGGTATCAGCGACTTTTCACAAGAAAGCACGTGCTCGCTTGGCTTTGTTGGATTCAGAATGATTCAGATTGCAGTGCTTTGTGCTTTCCGTACCTTGAGGTATCAACGCCAAAGATGAGAAGGACGCAGCATTCAAATGCATTAGACAGCATGACATGGTCATATAAGACAAAAGAGAGTCACTGAACCAAGACAACTTAGACTGCGAGCATAGTGTTTTCCCACGCTTTCGACAATTTCATCGCTCTGCCATGCGTTCCGAAGGCCTGCGGTTTGCTGCCCAAATGTGCTTGGAGTGGATCGAGTTGTTTCGGAAAGGACACCGGGTACATCCGGGTGCGGTGATTGCACAATCCTGGTGACTCGATGCGGAAGTTTTTTTTCAGGATGCAAGTGGTGACACCTACGGGACCTATGACACCTATGCGATCTAGGCAATTGGCTTCTTCTTGCCGTCCTGATTGTGAAATATTGTGAATCTGACAATCTTGCTCTTGAAAACACCACCCCTCCAACAACCCCGTTCCTCCCCACTTTCCGCTGGGCTCCTTGAATTCTTTCTGCCGCCTGTCCTACCCTTGGCTTGAGCCTGGCTACAATGTCTTTCGCGCTATTGAGCGCTGAGCTGGGGTGGTACGAAAGTTGCGTCTTTCTTTTTCTTGTGAGGGTATGGTTTTGGGGAGTTGGTGCAGGTGGCTTGGGTCTTGCCCTTTTGGCTTTGGGGGCGCCCGCGTCCCTTTGTCCCGGTGTGGTGGACGGTGCAACAACTTAATCGGTTCTTGGGACCAATGACCAATGGTTAAGTTGTGCCACTTTCCTCACCCTCTGTAGATTCTTTAGCAGCTGCTGTTTCATTCTCACTTTGAATGAAATTGCTTCCAGTGCAGCTTTCGAGAAAGACTCGGGATTCAGCACTAGGATTATTAGTTCGAAAACAGAATGAACATGTATAAATTTTGAACTAAGCGTCACAAACCCCGAAAATCAACGACAATGAAGCAAACCCAAGCAGCACCTCAGCCCACCTCAGCCATGTAGGAGTTGGTGGTTCCAGAGCTGTGCAGCGCTGACCAGGAGTGGTGCGTCCGTGCTGGACGGTTTTGTTTCAACACCTTAGGCCTTTGCCAAGAAGAAATTGGTCCCCTAGATGTCCCTAGACCACTTGTAACAATTCTAAAGCATTCTAATCAGAATGGTTCACATCCTTTCATGTCTCTTTCATTGTTACGTCTGCTTCGGCATTCTTTAGTTCTGAGATGGTCTCTGAGATGGTGTCTGAGTATCTAGTATCTCCAGCAGGCTTGGTTGGCATCTCATCCCGCCTCATCCAGAATCCAGGTGTACAACGGGACCAAGGTGGAAGACTTGAGGAGCAGCAGCTGGTCGAGGTTGGGAGTGAGACGACGTGAGATGACTTTGAGCTCATGGTAGGTATGATACGATGATCATTCTGTTCATATTCATGTTCCTATTCATATTCGCATGTTTCTTTATATTTCTATTCTATTCCATTCTCTTCGGCTGTAATTCTAAAGTTAGTTCTAATTCTATTTTATTCTAATCTAATTCTATTCAATTCTAATTCTGTTCTATTCTATTCTATTCTGTTCTACTCTATTCCAATCTGTTCTACTCTATTCTAATTCTAATTCTAATGCTAATTCCTTTCTATTCTATTCTATTCTATTCTGTTCTACTCTATTCTATTTTGTTCTGTTCTGGTCTAATTCTGTTCTATTCTATTCTATCCTGTTCTATTCTATTAAATCCTATTCTATTCTATTATATCCTATTCTATTCTATTCTCTTCTATTCTAATTCTATTCTAATTCTCTTCTATTCTGTTCTACCCTACTCTATCCCATTCTTATTTCTAATTTTGTTTCTATTTCTATCTCTCTCTCTTTTTCTATCCCTATTTCTATTTCCATAATTTCTATTTTTATTTCTACTTCTATTTCTATCCCATTCTATTTTATTCTTTTCTATTCTACTCTACTCTATTCTATCCTATTCTTTTCTGTTGTGTTCTTTTCTTCTCTATTCTATTCTATCCTCTTCTATTCTATTCTTTCCTATTCTATTCTATCCTATTCTGTTCTGTTCTGTTCTATTCTACTCTGTTCTGTTCTATTCTATTGCTACTCTATTCTATTCTATTCCATTCCATTCTATTCTATTCTGCTCTACTCCACCTTATTCTGTTCTATTCTATTCTATACTATTCTATTCTATTCTATCCTATGCCGTGCTATTCTATTCTATTCTGTTCTATTCTTTTCTATTCTATTCTAGTCTGTTCTATTCTAATTCTATTTCATTCTATTCTTTCTATTCTGTCCTATCCTATGCTATTCTGTTCTGCTCTATTTTATTCTATTCTGTTCTGCTCTATTTTATTCTATTCTGTTCTAATTCTATTCTATTCTATACTATTCTAATTCTATTCTATTCTATTTTATTCTATTCTCTTCTTTTCTATTCTATTCTACTCTACCCTATCCTATGCTATGCTATTCTCTTCTTTTCTATTCTACATTTTTTCTATTCTATTCTAATTCTATTTTATTCTATTCTTTCTATTCTATCCTATGCTATTCTGTTCTGCTCTATTTTATTCTATTCTGTTCTAATTCTATTCTATTCTATTCTGTTCTATGCTTTGCGATGCTATGCTATTCTTTTCTAATTCTTTAATTTGAATTTTAAGTTTTTTATTTAAAACATGCAATTTGATTCTAATTCTATTCTATTCCATTCTATTCTGCTCTACTCTATTGTATTCCGTTCTTTTCTAATTCTAATTCTAATTCTAATTCTAATCCTGTTCTATTCTGTTCTAATTTCTATTCTATTCTCTTCTCTTCTTCCGTTCTTTTCTTTTCTTTCCTATTCTATCCTACCTATGCTATTCTATTCTATTCTGCTCTACTCTATCGTATTCTGTTCTTTTCTAATTCTAATTCTAATCCTATTCTTTTCTATTCTGTTCTAATTTCTATTCTATTCTCTTCTCTTCTTCCGTTCTATTCTTTTCTATCCTATCCTATCTATGCTATTCTGTTTTGTTCTGTTCTAGTTCTATTTCTAATTCTAAATTCTAATTCTATTCCTTTCGGCTACATCCAAGTAGTTCACCACAATGATCCTGGATTGATCAAGTTTGATCACAGAATTAGCATAACATGCACAAGTGTGTGCTATAAATGGGCCAAAAATGGATGCACCGGAGAATCATTTGAGCATCTGGAAATGTGAACTCGATGCGTGGTTTCATCAAGCAGTATGAGTATATTCACGCATCCGTAGATGATCAATGATGATGAGAGCAAATGATAGGGCTCGCTGAACCCATGCGTCGTTTATCGTTGACTGTGATTGTCTTCACAGTGCCTGTGCAGGCCAATGCTCTCTTTGGCTGCTGTGCTGACGCTTTTTTGCTGACAACTTCCATCTTGATGCAGTGAAATAGTGCTCCGCAGCAGCTGATAGCCGTCGCATATTGTTCCACATTGACGTCGGACTGGACCAGGGAAGTGTGCTGGGCAAATAGTTATGTTTCTCAACCATCCCAACACCATGCAGCACCGTGCAACATGACGCAGGATCTGCATGGAGATGATCCCAATGCGCATGCGATAGGCTTCCCGAAAGTTTAAACATCATTAGAATATATTAGAATATATTAGAATAAACTATTGAGGAGAACATAAGATTTCCCATATAGGACTCCAATGGGCTGGATCTAAGTTGATTTGGCTCAGGCCGACCCGAATGACAGGCCGGAAATCTTCGTAGCTGAGCCAGAACCGCAGGACCGAAGGCGAAGTCGCCTGCGTGAGCTGCGGCCATGAGGAGTTAAAAAACATGGAAGGAAGGTGCAAAGTCCACCAAAATCCACCAGACCGAAGACAAAACATGGCCAAACACGGCCAAGCATCTTCGCAAGGACAAGACAAAAATGCAACTGTATGCTGTATGCACGTGTTTGCTGTGCTTGTCTTTTGAGGTACATCTTGTTTTGTCCGGCAAGAGTTGTCTCTGTCAGCAGACTTGCCATCGCTGGTCAATCCCGATGACACGTCTGCCAATGGGCATAAAAGGATGAAGAAACAATATTGTTTTTGAAGATTGTTGAGACATGTTGAGACATATTTTGAAATATTTTGAATAATTTTGAATCAGGCTGAGAGGCTGGTCTCCCGCAGGCCAAAGAATGGCTCAGGTCCGAAGCCATGGTGAGGGAGGCGAAAGTGCCACTGTGCGGTCCCAGGTGTTTCAATGCTATCTTCGAGGAAGTGGACGATGAAGAGAAGCTGACACAGGCCAGAGAATTGCAAGACTTGTGATCCAACAGTTGGTGATTTGGCGGTGTGGATTGTAGTAACATGAGTTGCTCAATGAGTTGACACCAATGTGGACACTTGTGCAGCTTTGGCTGCGATAGATTTTCCAGATTTTGCGTGTGAGGTGCAGGTCCCTGATGGTCAGGGTGCTTACAGGCAGGTGGTGAGATATTACCATGTTGGCCGCGGGCAGGGCGATTTTGAACCGGTGCCAGAAACGAGTGGCACTGGCATCGGCATGTTGCCTGTGGCCGCCACTGTGGCCAGTCTCTTCCTTGTCCTGATTCTTGCTGTGACCTTGTTGCACATCAGCGCCAATTTTCGCCCCATACCATCCCATACCCTGGCCAAGCCTAGCCAAGTCTTCCAGCCACAAGAGCACACAAGAGTACACGAGTACACCAGCGTGCAAGATACACATTAGATCATTAGATACACCGGATTTTGGATCTTTGGCTCTTTGGAGTCTTTTGAGCAGGCACGTTGTTACTCCTTCAGGTTCCTGCGCTCTACCTATTAGTGGGCTCTCACAAGGCAAGGCTTTCAAAACGATCCTGGAACGATCCTGGAGGAAAGTTTGGGAATCCGATCTACAAAGTGAACAGCGGAGCGTTAGGACCGTCCAGGACCTATAGGGTAAGATGTCGTGTGCCGATGGACTCCATTTTGGTGGACCCTCCAGAAATTTCACGCACTTGATTCTGTGGAGGCACCAGATGCCAAACGGCAGAGCAGCCTCTTCGTGGACTGTGACGAGCTATTTCCGGAAGGACTATAATAGAGCATAAATTTACAAATATAACTATAAATAAATCAACAATATATATATATGTATATGACATGTAAATAGATAAATACATAAATAAATATATATATATATATACGTATTTATATATTTAATATGTATATAATATATATATATAAGTGTGTGTGTGTATGTGTATATATATATAATTTATAATTGAGCAGCATCCAGCAAAATGATGCCGTCATGGGAGGGTTTCGTTCAAGTTGTGGCGTTTCTTTGAGATGGGCATGCGACCACTTTCACCATTATTTCACCACTATCTTTTTATTGTCCACAACAAAAAGGTTCAATTTAAACGCTTGTCCTTCTGCATGCAGGATCGCAGAGAGCTCACTACTGCTGCGAGCGCCATGGGAGCAACTGCTACGGTGCTTTGCCAAAATCGTCCTGTGGAATTTGAGTTAGGGCAGCTTCACTGAGTGGGGATGGAGAGGAGGTGGAGAGGAGTTGAAGAGGGGGAGATGAAAGTGTTGGCACTTCGGGCTCAGGTATCCAGGACTACGGCTCAGATTTTTCTGAGAGGTTTGCCAGGCACTCAGATTTCTCAGTTTCAATATGTTTCAATGCACACCTTGACACTGGCGAGGCCTTTGGAACAGGGTAGGACCACGATGTAGTGCCAATCGGATCCAATCGGTGCCTCCTGCGTTGGCCTGGTCCTATCTGCGGCCGGGTCATGAACCGAGGATTGCTTTGATGACAAGTGGCACGGTTGGTCGACTGAAAAAAAGGACTGGTGCTGTGAGAGAGAAGGGCGAGGTTGCGCGCAATATGATTGTGATGGCGATGTGCTCTGGACTGCACGCAGTTCATCGCAGTTCATGGTATGATCGCAAGGTTCCTCCAGGTTCAAGGTTCCTCAAGGTCAAACTGACTTCAATTAACTTCAATTAACTTCAACCAGTGCTTCAACCAGTGCTTCTTCAACTTCAACCAAAGTTTCCAAAGCTTCACCGGTTGGATTCGCGCTGCACTGCCGGTGTCCCGTCAGACGTCCCGTCCAGGTGCATTTTTGGGCTGCAGCTCAGAGCCAGTGGCCGGGAGCCTATCGGCCATGGGGACTCGAAGAAAACGGAACGAAAACGTGTGACAACTTGTGACATTGGAATAATACATGAATAATACATTTATTTAATACAATGAATACTCAAAGTGACATGAATACTGGTGACATATGGTGACATGAATACTCAAAGTGACATGAATACTGGTGACATATGGTGACATGAATACTCAAAGTATCTCACAGTGTTTGCAGCCGTCTTTTCATATTTTTCATTATGCAATTTGTGCAGGTGCTGCGAGAATGCTCAAATTTGTTCTCCTGCCTCCACTCCAGCCCCAATGGCCCCAGTGGCCCAAGCGGGCCCAGTGGCCCCAGCCTCTCCCTGTGTGAGATCTTGCATCACAAGGAGCCCCAAGTTGAAACATGTTGTAACACTATGAAGGTGGAAGAGTGCGTCAGAATCACATATTGAGGATAGATATGGATAGACAATGAATAGACTGACGGTGATAGACCATGTTTCCCTTGATTTGAGGGAAGAGAAGAACTTTACCAATTAAACATAATTAAACGCTTGACCCGGCTTCAGTAGGCAGTGTTTCAACTTCGTTTCATAGCCGTGCCTTGCTTCGTGCAGGGATGATGGCGAAGAGGTGAAGTCAACCTGCATTGATCGCATCCATTGGGCGAAGCGTAACTTTTTCGCCGGAAAGGCGTGGAGCGATCACGATGCGCTGCTATGAAGTTATGATACATTCGTTGGGTTTTTTTTGCTGCGTTTTGCACTCTGCAGACTCTGCAGGTAGGATCCAATTTAGCAAAGATCGTCAAAGATGACGTCATGCACTAGTTGGATTTTCCATGATTTTCCAACACGGTTGTATGCTGCTTAAATTGATAAATTTGACTCAGCCACATGAGGAAATCACACACACACACATGATCAGGAATTTCACCCAAGCGAAACAAAACTGCAGGACTCTGCGTGCGCTTTGGCCTACAGCCGGGTACAAGTTGACTGCGATGTGTGCAGAGATTGCTCCATACAGGACAGCAACATGCTAGTGGTACTATCTCCTATGGAGCTTGATGGGCCACACGTCAGACATCTTCAAATCCGAAGCTTTGGCAAAGCGCCGCAGGAAGCAGGTTGTCCGATGGAGGTTCACTAGGTGGTGGCATGGGGTTCATGTCCGGGGAAGTCAATGGTGCCAAACGATAGGTGCATGAAGAATCATGAAGAATCATGAAGATCCTAATGTAATCCTCCATGATGAATTATGGTATGACCGTATTTATATGTATTTATGAATAATGAGTAACCAAGAGTAACCATATTTTGCTACAGTAGTTGTGCCAAACATTCTCCGCGACTCGGAGACTTCTTTGCCACCTTTTGGGAGGTGCCTACAGTGCAAGGACATGAAGGACATGAAGGACACGGGGAGGAGCTTTGATATTTGACGAGCTGAGCAAATGCTGCGCATGCTGCGCATGTTGCGCATGTTGCGCATGTTGCGCATGTTGTGCAGTGTTCCAGGGCCTTGTGGATCCTGTGGTAGCTGTATGTTGTATGTGATCGTATGTGTATATGTAGCATATCAATGCATATCACATCATATAGGAGCCATGCCAGATGCATGTGTAGCTACAGTACGGAAGCCCCCTGCGCAATGCCTCAGCACTTTGATGTTTGCGTAACACTTTCATCAGGGTCTGAATCTCGATTCGAATAGTATTGCAATATATTGCAATATTCTCGCCCTGGAGGACTCATCCCGGCCTCATAGACATAGATCCACCTTGAATCGTAGAAGCGGCGAATGGGCTGCGATTTGTGAGCAGATTGTGGGAGCCAGACTTCCAAACAAAGTACCATTGTATGAGAGTGTAAGACGTTCTATTTAAATCTATTTAAATCTATTTATTCCAAATGTTGTTTTTGTACGGTGCGTGTTGAGCCCCTTTTGGCACGTGCTTCTCCCCATGCCACATCTGCAGTGATGCCAATCTGTTTGAAAGTTCCTCCGAGTCAAAGCGCTTAGAGGTCAGCGTCTCGAAGTGGGGATGCCCCCGGTTCATTCCGGTTCATGTTTCACCATTGGACCGCTATCGGCTACAAAAGTGAGCATTTGCGGGTAGTTGTTGGATGACGAACACAAAATAAAACGCTCCACATCATTCTTAGGCAATTCTTATGTAAAGATTGTTCTACAAGTAGTACAGTGGTACGATGTGGTACGTTCTAGTATATTAACAGATATTAAGAGTATATTAAGAGTATATTCTAGTTTTCGCCAGCTGAACCCGTGGAGATGGCGGAGAAACACTTCGCATTTCATTTGTACCTTGAAGTCCTGGAGTTCTCTTGCAGGTTTCACTCTTGAGGTTGCACAGTTGCACATCCATTTTGTGACTGTTGGATCTGTTGCATGCTGTGAGGAAATTTGCCCGGCATGTTGGCTCGCTCAAGAGGAAAAGTCGAGCACCCTCGGCTTTTCAAATGGTGCCTCCTGCCTCTGTGTGCCTTCTTCATGCCTGACCAGGACTGAAATGGGTCCGTAATTGCGACAAAGTTTTTTTTTTGTTTTGTGAGATATGATGAGGCTGTGAGATTCGATGAGATGCGATAAGTTTTTTAGATGACGCGGTGAAGATGAATTGCAACAGAATGACGGTGTGATACAATGTGCGATCATATTAACATATCAACAGACATTCTGCATTCTATATCCTGCTGTAAAGATACATCAATAATACCAGGGACTGCTGCAGAATCAGGACTCCCGGATCTTTGTTTTCCTGACAGGAAGCGGGCTGCCATGTGACTAGGGCCTAAGGGCATCGAACGCTGCCTTCGATTGTGGGTTTGCGGCCAACGGTTTTCCCATGCGTTGGTGCCTTTGTTGTTTTTCCCCAGAGAGCGAAGCTCTGGGGTTCTTACTTCAAGTATAGGACGAGTTGCACGTCTGCGTTTTGGAGCGGGCATGTTGGTGCTGCTGCCGGGTGCCGCTGCAGAGTGCCGCTGCTTTGGAGTGCTGCCCACGGTTTTTTAAAATATATTTATTATCATTTTTGCATATTTTTGCTATCCGGGGTCTCTGCTGGCATAATTTGTTGTTTTTAACTTTTTGATCTTTTTATGGTCGATTTGTTTCTGCGGAGTTGCTCGTTTGAGAATCGGCTTCCGGGTTTCAGGGCTCTGTGGTCACTGGTGCTGCAGCAGGGCAAAGGTTGCGAGGGATCAACAAGAAGGCGAGACGCGTCCCGGGAGATTCAGCAAGGTAAAGTATGGCAATTTACGGCAAGCCACATTTTTTCATTAATAATATATATATATATACACGTATATATATATACACGTATATATTAATATATACATTAATCTACATTGTGAATAATGTAATGTATATATACGATGATATATGAACATGATTATATCTAGTTATATATGTGCACAGTATACAAATATGTATATACATCTGAACATAGTTTTGGCCCTCTCCATGTCAAGAGCAGGTTGTGCTAACAATCGGAGATGTTTCTGAATCTTTCCCCAACAAGTCGACTTACGTCGTCTGCGCGCCAGGTCCAAGTATATATGACTTGAGTGGCCACCCGGTCACACTGGCAGCCAATGACAGGATCAGCTAGGAGGCAGCGACTGCATGCCATTGCTGCCATTGCTTCCATGCTGTCTTGCCATGCTTTTCTTTGTCTTGGATGATTTGGATGCCCCCACAAGGTCCTGCCGAACGTTGTCCAACAGCGGTGAGGCAAAAGACATGAAGTATCTTCGCGCCAACCATTTTGCATCAATTTGTCTTCGGTCATCGTAAATCTGTGTGTGACTCATCTCGGAAGCTGATATGTGCTCATGATGTCATGCCTTCTCACATCGTGAGCACACTGTAGGCACGAGGTAGGCAAGCAGCAATGCAAAGATTGCAAGTACCACCTGCTCCCGTCTCTTCAAGTGGAGTTCAACCATGCAACTCTTTCCGGGGCCTTTCGAAATATGAGCAGATTTTCTTCATCTTCAGATTTGGCTCTCAGCGGCTTGTCTTCTCCGTTTGCTGATACTTCGCGGCACCACACTCGGAACATTTTCCCATGGCTGCAGATGACGCGTGCTACGCTGCTTGTGGGGGAGAAGGCGCGCACAATGCTACCAATGCTACTGTAGACTGTAGACACTAATGAGCTAAGGCATTGTCAGATGGCAGTTGGATTCATATATTGCAATATAATGCAATATATAGGATTCGTATGGCATCATTCTGTGACAGATTGTGACCCGCATCGAACTTCAGGTGAGGTCAAGACTGCAGAGCAGTTCGTGTATGTTGGCGAGAGCAAAGGCTCATGGTCCCAGACTGCTTCTATGCAATGGATGGGAGCAGGACAGTGCGGACAGCCTATGACAGCCCAGCAAGTAAAGCTGTTTGATTGCTAGATGATGCCATGATGTTGTCTGATGCCAAATGCCAAATGTGCAAAACCGCTTTTCGTTGTTTTGGTTACCACTGAATCTTGCCCAAGTTTGAGGCTTAGATGCTTTCCCTCAGGATACGGGGCCTATGAGAGGGAGGTGGTGAAATCTTACACGGGATACCGTTGCCGTCCTTGGTGTTTTGGAGTCGCAGCTGCCTTGCTGCTGTTGCCGCTTTGACACTTGACATCACTTGACATCGCTTGACGTTTTCGGATGTTTTTCGTAGGTTTCTTTTTCTGGCTTTGAGCGTGGTTGAAGCATGTTGAAGGTGGTTCTAAGCATAGGACGCCTAGGAGAGAATTGATCACAAAGGCTTTTGAACAATTTTAACATGTTAGAACCACTCGAATCATCTTGAATCATCTTGAATCCATTTGGGCGGGAGGCCTTCTTGGAATTTGTGAGTTTAGTGAGGCATCCTTGTGTGGTATTTTTGGCCCCATCCTTCCCATGGTTACTCTGACGTGCTCAATTGCGATGATGGCTACCACGACTGGGAAAATCTTTGGACTGAATGGCACCAGAAAGAATGCTGTTCGCTTAAGGGCCGAGGCTGCCCTGAAGAAAAGCAGGTCATCGACAAGGTGGTTCATGTGCCAGTGTTCCACCGTGCTCACAATCACTATGTGCCTGTGCCGGTGCCTTCCCCACCCCACATCGTCTACAAGAACCGTTATGTCCATCTGCCTCCGAAAATCATCTATGAGCACCCGCATCATGAATTCCACTATGACTGCCATGAAGGCTACTCCAATTGGTTCTTCGGATGGTCTGCACACAAGAAGTCCTGGTGCTGTGACCACATGACCATGGGATGCCCTGGCACTTGGCATGGCAGCTACCACCTCCACACTCATGTCTTTGCCAAAGGAGTGGGACACGCACATGGGCGAATTTATGATTGCAACGCTGGCTTCTCCAATTGGATGCAGGGCTGGTCGGGTTCCAAGAAGGACTGGTGCTGCTCGAAACACAACAAGGGCTGCGTGAAATTCCATTGCAGCTCTGGTGCTGTCCCTTGACTGCAGTGGATTTTTAAGATTCACCAAAGCGTACTATCATGAATCATGACATATCATGACTATCATGTCACCAAGTGTATCCAAGTGGCCTTTATCGTTTTTCGGCATTTGCTGATGATGGCCTTTGATAGTTCAATGATGTTCAATGATCTTGATCCATTTCGGCAGATATTCTCTGGGTCAGGCTCATATGTGGGCCGCAGAGAAACGCTCATGGTGCCCTGGCAGTGAAAGTAAACTGTAGCTGAAAGTAACCTGTCAAAATTGGTTTCAACCCCCCTGGACTCCTGGACACTTCATTTCAGCAGAAGTATGATGTGTCTCATCATGTCTCATCCCAATCATGATGAGACAGTGCTACGATGTGCTACGTGTCCCTCTGGGTATCTTGAGGTGCTGCAGCAACTTTCAGAAGGGCTGCCCTCATACCACCCTCTCTGCTCTGAAGTGCGATGCTATGTGCGAACATAAAGGCACAATGTACGACATTGCTGGATGGGATGAAATAAGTGACGAGAAGAACCTTGGATAGGTAAACTCTGCATGCTGGTTTAGCAAACCTTCAAAGCATCTCAAAGCTGAAATGTAAACTCACATTAGGCTCACAAGCACTATCGATAATCGGGCAATCATTGGAGTGATTGTTTGGGTAGATTATGATCTAGCTTGACATACACGATAATGAGCAGAAGAGATGAGATGATAGTACAACATTCTAAACACATATTATCAAGATGCTGTTCTCCCGGCTAGATTTGCCTGATATAGAGGTAGGCCACACACACACAACATAACACAACATCACACAACATTACACAACATCACACAACTCACACGACGTCACACAACCTTGTTTGGGCACGCGTTTAGGGCACTGTTCGTTGATTTCTCAACTGCTGTGTGTTCCCATGTGCTTACAGTTGTCGTGGTTTGCGCGTTTGCGGAATTTGCAGGAGAGAGTTCCAAGTGCGTTGACCGCATCCACTGGACGAAGAATAATGTGTTCGGATCAAAGGTGAGGGCTTGCTGGTGGAAGCCGGCCGCAGTGTGTTTGATTTGTTTGATGGCGTTTGTAGAGCCCGCAACCCTCACCCGCCAGGCAAATGCGTGCGAGTTGGCCTACAGCAAGGTGCAGGTCGAGTGTGACATTTGCCGAGCCTGCTCCATCCAGGACTCACCCATGCACCCATGCACTTAGAATCACTTGGATGCTGGTTCTTTCAAACTGGTGAGTGTCCAAAAGTGTCTCACTGCTCACTGCTGTTTGCCCCACTTGGCGCAGGAAGCTGGCTGTGAAGTTCATGCTGCTGGCAAAGACCCATTTGACTGCCAAGCTGCCTTGAACAACTTCTTCCGTGCACCTTATCAAGAATTCATGTTTCATGGTATCCATGGTATCCATGGCATCCGCGACGCCCATGGTATGGTTCTGATAATTTGTAATTGACAAAATTGAGAGAGGCCACGTCGAAATCAATCCCAACCGAGGCATGGTCACCTTCGAAGAAGCACTGGTGCTGCACGCAGCGCGGCAAAGGGTGCGAAGGATCAAGCCCACCTGCTGTGGACGCTGGCTTTGGCATGGTTTGGAAGCACGTGCAGGCGGGGAGGGTCAAGAAGGGTCGGTTCGCATTGTTTTGGCAGTTGCCATGTTGGCTTGTTGTGTCGTATTTTGAGAATGCTTCAAGGGCGAATTGGATTGCAATCACATCGCTAGAACGAACAAAGGTGAACGGCTACTGGACCTGGCAAGCTGTGCATGCTGCTGGCGGCATCCACACGAAGCTTCCGTATGATTGCCATGCCGGGCGTCAGAACTGGCACATCGGCTGGTCTGCCCCCAAGAAGGCCCGGAGAGAGTCTTAGAAGATTTGGGGAAGTTTGATGAAGTTTGTACCAATGTGCTCGTCCAGATGTGGCATGCTGTGTTCCCTTTGACTTCATGAGAGGCCTGGTGCTGCAGCAATCAGCAGCTGGGCTGCGAAGGTGCAGGCTCCCGGGTTTGGTTCTCATAAGGATTTCCATGGATTTCCAGTCGTTGAGGTGGTCAGGTCCTGTTTTTGCCCCTTTGTTTATCTCCAGGTCAATATGTCCGAGAGTTTCGTTTTGACATGCTTTCTGCACTTTCTTCCTCTTTTTTTTGCACCTGAGATGGCGGACCCTGCTGGACTTTGATCCATGTTTTTGGTCGGCTACCTGCAGGCGGCGCTGGTGGCGCTGGTGCTGGTGGTGCTGCTGGAGGAAGCTTTCACTCTTCAAGCTGGCATTCCTCGGGAGGCAGCTTCCATTCCGGTGGCAGCTACCATTCCGGTGGCAGCTATCACACCCACGTGATCCACCACTACCATTGAGCTGCCAACAAAGTTGCTTGATCGCACTCCTCCCCATATGCTGCATCATGATGCTAGATGCGCGTGATGTTCTTAGACTCTCTTAGACGTCCTCGGCAAGTATGATCAAGTATGTAAGTATGCCATAGTTTGCCAGTAATTGAATCCCTTACAACCCTTTGCCTTTACATGCTATTTTGGCGGGGCACCGCATACAGTGTCACAGGATGTCACAGGCAAGAGGGGCGCACACACCTGCATCAGTTGACAAACTCCACTTTGCCACTCAGCAAGATCAGGACGGGGAGATTTTCAAGCCAAATCTCCAAAGCTTCAGAGTGAAGTCGGAAGGGTCAAAATGAGTCAAATACCGGGTTCTAGCTGATTCTAGCTGCGACATGCCCACACATGCCCACACATGCCCACACAGATCGATCTCGACGTTTGCGTCGACAGAAGTCAAAGTTGATCTATGCCAAACCAGATATTATACGATATTATGTTATTTCTTCTGTCCTTTTGTCATTCTTGGACTGGCACTTGTAAGATTTGTGTGTTTGCTGTTTGTGTGTGCCTAGCAGCCTAGCACCCGTGGCATTGGCAGCTTCCTTTATGACATTTGTTCCGTTCCTCTGTAGCGTGTCATCAGTGTGTTGCGCGATTTGGTTCGGAGAGAGTAAGCCGGGTGCATCTGTCCCCTGCGAACTGCGGGGCTGCGCCAACATCCATTGTCTTCAAAGAGTCTTCAGTTGATTCAGTTGTCAGTTGTTTCTTCAACGAGTCACTTTGAGATCTACCAATCTACGTCTTCTAAAATCTAAAAGTCATCAAAATAATCAAACACACGAAGGCTTGGAGAGACTTACCTGGTAAGGGCTCATCATGGTTAGATGATGTGGGCGATGCTCCCTCCAGATGCCCGGAATACGATGGAATACGTTGAACTGTCCAGTGCAAACCTTTCCAGCTGCAAGCAGCTGCCAGGGTTGCGCTCCTTCCTGGTCCCAAAGGGATGTGGAGACTCTTAGGTGCTCCGCGAGCTGACATGAAAAGACATGAGCAGACATGGAAAGACACTCGGAAATTTGAGAGTGCAAAACGTATATAATCAAAAATATAATCAAAACATTGAACGTGAGCATTTTCTTCATCTTCAGATTTGGCTCTCAGTGGCTTGTCTTCTCCGTTTGCTGATACTTCGCGGCACCACTTGGCTGAAAGATGCTCTAGAGCTGTGACTACGTAGACAAGGCAGAACCATGCGGAACCTCAGTAAAGCGATCAGTTCCTTTCTCATTGAGCAAGAATGGAGAAGTAACAAGGAAAGAACCAGAATAGGGCAAGTCATGGCGCGAGAACCCATGAGAATCTGGCACTCACCACGTCTGAGAGTATCACACTGCCAATCATCATGCTGCTTAGATCTGCTTAGGTAAAGATAGGAGGCCATGGCGGCCATGGATGTCAGATTGTCACGCAGGTCGCAAATGAGTGGAATTGGCTTTCTCATTGCCTTGACATGCGAATAAAATATAATAATTAAAACTAATAAAACTATATAAAACTAAAACAATATAAAACAGCAAGTGGGATCTATGCAGTATCTCTCTTTCTATATATATATATTATGATATATGAATTTATGAATAATTTTGAATCATTTATGAATATATGAATATAGTATCTGTACATAATTATAGTACGCTTGATTAAGTTGATGATATGTTTTTCATGTTTTTTATACGACCTGGACTATCTGTACTGTCTTATGTTGTCCAAACGAATCGCAAGGTGCATTCCGCCAGGCCTGGATGGCCCAGGACCGATGTGCGATTGCCGATGCGTATCGTGTTTTTTCATCGTCAATGCTGAGTGTATACTGAGTGTACTGCAACATACTGCAACATACTGCAACATACTGCAACATACTGCAACATACTGCAACATACTGCAACATACTGCAACATACTGCAACATACTGCAACATACTGCAACATACTGCAACATACTGCAACTATGTGAGCATTATGTGATAAATTATGTGACCATTGAGCTATGTCAGCCATGTGATTGTGCACAGTGATCTACAGCATTTTTGTACTGTAGGTGTACCGTATCGTGACGGCTCATCATGTGCAGCTAGCTCTGACATTCCATGTTCAGTAGATACACGATGATAATGATACTTATGTATATATATATAAATATACATATAATGACAATTCATGACACAATACGCACAGGGGGGGCGATACGGGCGATATTCGGCGGGCCTGTGACCAGTTGGATGAACTACACGACTTTAAGGTGCATGATCCATGAAATAAGTGCCTAAATTTCAAACATAGTCATTGAATAATCATTGGGAGTCCTACGTCAGGTGTTCGTACGATTCTTTTATGAAATAGAGCGCACATATGTAAGTACGACCATATATGTAAGTACATACATAATAATCATACATACCTAATCATACCGATGTATATAACATTATATAACCGTGTATGTGTACTTTACTGATGCTAATTGATGCTACATTGCAACATAGACATATGGCGTCACTAGAGCTGATCTCCTGGTGTGGCCTTTGGGGTCAAGGGGTTGGCACCGCCAATTTAGATGTGAAGAAACCGACAGAATTGTCAAGATGTCTGCGGTGAGTGCCGACAGGCCAGTTAGAGGCTACATCGATGGATGCTTTGATATCATGCATTCGGGACACTACAATGCCATTCGTCAGGCAGCACGATCCATGGTTGTCATCACACTCTACAATCCTCCACAATCTATTGCACTGATTCTTGATAGGTTGTAGTTGTGGGACATGAATTCAAATGATGTAAACGATGCATGCTGTTCTTTTCCATGCTCAGTTGGTGTCTCTCTTTTTCACTTTTCTTTTTGGTCGCATCCCTGTCAGGCGAAGAACATTTGTGACATTTTAGTGGTTGGAATCCACTCAGATCAAGAGATTGCAGAGAACAAGTCCATGCCCGTAATGCGTCAAGAAGAGAGATATCGTTTGTTGGACCACATCAAGTGGATTGATGAGATCCTTTATGACGTTCCCTACTCACCAGAGATTGCAACTCTTGAACGTGCACGAGCAGATTTCTGCATCCATGGGGATGACATGCCAGTGAATTCTCAGGGTTTTTGTGCTTATGATGAGATGCGAAATGCTGGACGCCTGCGCATCATCAAACGAACTGAAGGTGTCTCAACAACTGATCTCATTGGGAGGCTCCTGACCTTATCACGCAATCAGCCTTCAGATTTGGGCGGAGCTTCCCCAACCATGGGTTTACGCATGAGCGCAGATGAGGTCATTGAGGCAGCAGCTGCAGGAGATTCAAATGCCGTGAAACTTTTGAGGGAATCGGTCCAGCAGCTGGTGGCAAAATATCACATCAGCAGCCAAGATGCCGCACCTCTGCAAGATCAGATTCAAACACTTGAGACAGTGCTGAACCAGAAGCCGCGAGACCTACGAGACATGCAAGATAAGGGAGACGAGAGCCAAAGCCAAGGCCAAGGCGGATATGCTCGGACCCAGGTACCTGTGCAACTGTTGGCCAGCACGCGGCGTATTCGAGAGTTTTCCTCGGCAAAGCAACCAACATCCGATGATTGCGTTGTCTACGTCAGTGGTTCTTTTGATATGTTTCATGTCGGCCATGCTGAGTTTCTGAAGGACGCTCGTGAACTTGGCACTTTTCTGCTGGTGGGGATTCATGATGATGCAAGCATAAGCAAAGCCAAGGGTCAGAATTTGCCTGTGATGAATCTCAATGAGCGTGTGCCTAGGTCTGGAAAAGCTTCTTTGTTGTAGTTGTGGTTGTGGTTGTAGTTGTAGTTGTAGTAGTAGTAGTAGTAGTAGTAGTAGTAGTTGTAGTAGTAGTAGTAGTCTAGTAGTAGTCTAGTAGTAGTCTAGTAGTAGTCTAGTAGTAGTAGTAGTAGTAGTAGTAGTAGTAGTTGTCGTCGTCGTGGTGGTAGTAGTGGTGGTAGTAGTAGTAGTATAATAATATGTTTATGTTTGAAGCGGACTGATCAATTCAACCATGTTGACCTTTTTCTGTGTATGAGCGTGCCAAAATCTCCTCCCCATTTGACAACCCAGTCCCCGTTTCCAAAGAGGAATTGTCATGTGCAGTGTGCTTAGGTCCTCAACGTTTGCGCTTGCAAGTGGGTCGACGAAGTCATTATCGGTGCTCCCATGAGTGTCACCGAAGATTTAGTGAAGACATGGGACATTCATGTTGTTGCTAAAGGATCAGGTCACAAGTGCAATGCAGGGGAACCCAAATATGATCCTCGTGTCTCAGCCGATTTAGCGGCAGTCTGAGTGTCCAAACATCTCCAAACCATTAATATAACTGTCTACATACATTAGGATCCTTAGGCACTGGGGTTGTTCGCTTTCTTGCCGGTCTCCGGTGATTCATTTGGAGATGAGGGGGAAAGGTGGCATGCCAGATATGGAACAATTTTGATATTCATTTCATTATCGATTATGAATATGTAAATGTATGACTCATTATCTTTTGAGTCCTCTGAGAAGCCCTGGCAAAAAAATAAAATTTGATGTCAGTTGGATTCTTCACTCTTTGATCCCAAGATATGCCAAGATATGCCAAGGCTTTGAAGTGCCCAAGAAATCTGGCATTTTCAAGGAGCTGCCTTCGCGCTGGCCGGACCTGTGCCATGATACAGTGGTGGAGCGGATCATACGCGGGCGAGAAGAATACCTGACCCGAAACAAAGACAGAGCAAGACGTGAGGACTTTGGTGACTATGGTTAGACTTGGCCACACATGGGGTCACAGGCGGAAATGTTGTTTGTTCATGTTTGTTCTTTCAATTGAGATTCATAGCGGAGCACGAGCCGCTAAACTGCAGTGAAACATGTCAAGCATTGTTAAGCATAGATAGGCAGTACAACTGTCAGGACACCTACTACGAGACCAAGAAGATTTCCAATTCAGTGGCGGAAGCGTAGCTGTCCCACCCCGACTCGTTGAATCAGCGCAGATTTCCAAAGCTCTTGATTTTGTATTGACATAGATGTCATAGATGTATGATCGATGTATGTATATAGTGTTTCACCATGTCACGCCCAGCGCAGAGGCTTCAAAAACTTGAGGTGAGAGAGAGGGCGAGTGGGCGAGTGGGCGAGTGGGCGAGTGGGCGAGTGGGCGAGTGGGCGAGTGGGCGTGTGTTTCTGTGGCAACTTCTCAAATGGAGCAGTGACTGAAGCAGGAGCTGGTGATGAACATCCAAGAGCTGCTTTCGCAACTTCAACCTGACTTCAAAAAGCAGTGAATTTGCGATTGTTGACTTGTTGAGGCAGGATCCATGTGTTTGCAGGCTGCTACATGGATCCGGTTTTGGCAAGCTTCATTTCATTTTCCAAGCAAAGTAGATGCAGCCTCTGCTCCAAATTTGGGCAAAAGCTGTGACTGGCAGTGTGAAAGGTCCTGCATGTCCATGAAGCAGACTTCTAAAGCAGACGTGAAGTCTGATTCAAGCGGCTGCTCTGATATTTTCATCAAAGCCAGGAGATGAAGCAATAGATAGCAATAGGATGCGAAAGGGCTACTTGCAGAGTTTCTGTTATTTTATAACACTGCTGGCAGCTTTGAGGGAACGAATGCTCTGGCAAACCGAATTGTCATTCAGAGTCGATAAACCGCGCTGTAGCAAATTTGATGCTTGAGGAGATAGATTTGTGCGGAATATAGAGCTATGACTTTGAGAGCATAGACGAGGTACAAGACCGCATGGTGAGGCTTTGGCTTTTCCGCCTTCAGCGGCTTGAGTGTGATAATAGTGTGATATACCGACAAGAAATAAAAGAGGTACGGAAGCCGGGCCATGACGGGGCTTGCAAATGGCATCAATGGCATCAAAGATTCAAAACGACTTCAGAATGAAATGGGTCCATGACCATAGCAGGCAACAATGAACTGAAATCAGTCCCGCTTGCCACTTGGCATTCTTTTTGTCTGTACCGTGCACTTTCCGTCCAAGCTTTTGCAAGTCCCAGGCCCGGGGTATCAGACTTAAGTTGGAAAACCCATGACTATCCTGGAACAAGAATGATGTTGCAGGATGTTGCAGCGGTACTGCATAGCAACATCGGCTATGGAGTGTGACTGCGCGCGTCCGATTTTGCCAGAGATGAAGAAATGCAAGATGTGCAAGCTATAGTGAAGTCTTTTGCAAATCTCTCACAGTTTCTGTGGATGAGTGAGAGGCTTGATTGTGTGAAATCACCTCATTTCATCTCACTTCTGCCAATTTCAAAGGTCATCAAAGGTAATTTTCCTTTGTGAACTGCAGTTTCAGCTTGTTCCACACTGAATGCCAGTGACCGCCAGTGACTTCCAGCGCCGGTAGCAATGCCAGTGGACACAGGCGGACTAAGTCAGTTAGACGTGACGTTTGGTATCTTCTTGTCCGTGCACGTTTTTGGTTGAGAAAAGTAAGGAAAAAAGAAAAACAAGAAAAACGAGAAAAGTCAAAAAGTCAAAAAGTAGAAAAACGATGGTTTTTGCAATCTTTACGTTTTTTGCCATTCGTTTTTTGCAAGAAAAATAGAAAAATAAGAAAAATAAGAAAAGTGAGAAAAGTAGAAAAATAGAAAAGTAGAAAAACAAGAAAAGTGCAAAAAATACAAAAAGTAGAAAAGTAGAAAAGCGATCCTTTTCGACTTTTCTACTTTTCGTGTTTTTCGACTTTTCGCGCACGGAGCCACTTTTCGATTTTTCGAATTTCCGAGAAAAAAACAGATTTGGAAGTTTTCCGCTTTTCTACTTTTCTACTTTTCGCGTTTTTCCTGTTTTTCGACTTTCCGCGATTTTTGTGAAAAATCAGAGTACAAGTTTTTCAGCAGTTTTCCATTTTCTGCGCACGTGGCCACTTTTCTATTCGCGCATGCAGCGCACGGGGCCGCTTTTGATTTTTTTGCAAAAATCAGATGTACAAGTTTTTCAGCAGTTTTCCATTTTCTTATTTCCTAGCTAGCATGAATTTGGTTTTTGTAGTGCTTGTGTTGTGCACCCTTACCACTTATTTTTCCTTTTGCTGCAGAGGGGCAAGACAATTCTACTTCAACGATTTCCTATTGTTCGTGGGTGCTTATGTTTTCTACTTGTGCTTGTGTGGTCCACGGTCAGAGTACTCTAGGACTCTAGGATTGTTGCTCTGGTGATCATCGAAGGAAGTTTGGAAGTCAAACTTCCGACAATATGGAGAGATGAAAAAGCAGTCAGCAGGGAGAAGAGTCAGAAGAGAAAAGATCAGAAGAAAGAAGATGCAGGTGCGCGAAAAGGTAGGAAAGTCGCGAAACACTGTGTTTTTTCGTGGTTTTGTGGCTCCGGAGGGTTGAAAAGTAGGCTCGCTAGGGCGGCGGGTGCGGAGACATCTGGGGAGATGAGCGATGAAAAGTTGCACGCCGTTGTAGCGCGAAGCACATTTTTGCATTTTAAAGCCTGAGACCTGTGCAAAAAAGTTAGACCGCTCTAAAACTCGTGCACAGCTTCACATAATTGGCACCCCGATGCGCGAAGCACGTTTGGAAGTAACATGTGTTAAACACTGAGGGGTTCGGACCACTTTTGGCACTTGAGATGTCGAAAAAGTGCACGCGTTGTGGCGCGAAGCACATTTGGAAGTGAAAATGTACAAAACACACCAAGTGCGGACCACTTTTGGTACTTGAGATGTCGAAAAAATGCACGCCGTTGTGGCGCGAAGCCCATTTCCAAGTCAAAAGTGTTAAAAACTGACGGTCTCGGACCACTTTTGGAAGTTCAGATGTCGAAAAAGTGCACGCCGTTGTGGCGCGAAGCACATTTCGAAGTCAAAATGTTAAAAACACTAGGGGTTCAGACCACTTTTGGAGGTTCAGATGTGCTTCCCTTCGCTTCGCTTAACGACATTACACTACATTACACTACACTCCACTACACTACGCTACATTACACTACACTACACTCCACAACACTACAACTACAACTACACAACTACACAACTACACGCCACTACACTCC